AACGGGGAAGGGAGGAAGGGGTGAGCAGGGAGGGGTGAGGCAGGAGGGAGGAAGGAAAATGAAAAAGGGAGGAGGGAAGACGGAGGAAGAGGCAGTTTTTTATGTTCAAATTGAATCCACATATCGCTCGAGGTGCACATTCGCAAGGCTGCGGACCAGCCGACAAGGAAGAAGGGGAGGGAATAGTGTGCGCACGGATGATGTTAATGAGGGGCTCAAGGTGGAGGCAGAGAGAAAGGCAGTTTTGGGTCCCTCTTGGGCCCCGCTTGGGCCCTGCTGGGAGGTTGCTGTGCCCCTCTTGGGCCGTTTTGCAGCGCATGCTGCCTCTTTGGGATCCTTGTGGGTCCCACCTCTTTTGTCGATTCCGATGCAAAGCATGCAGAATCTCACTTGGCCGACCCGGCCGTGCGCTACAGTGTGCGTGCCTGGGAACGCCCTGGTGTCTCTGGGGGTGCCGGCCGCAAATTTACCAATCATTATTGTCGTGACGGGTCGGGCGCTGATTTCTGACACCGCGTGGGGCCGTAATGTATTGAGGCCGGCGGCGAAGCCTTTCCCGGAAACTCCATCACTAATACCTCACCGTGAGAACGCCGCGCCCACCGAACGTCGCGCCCGAGTGCGCGCTCTCGGCTCGCTGCACGTGCTGCGCGTGAGCACCGTCGCCTTGTGACGGTTGCTCTTCGACGGCGAAGGGCGCGCCCATCCTGGAGTCATTCTTGCTCTGGGTCACCCGGACGATGGCGCCAGGAATCCTGGCATCCTTGCATCCTGTCCGCGGACGACGTCTCAGTCGCATCTTAATATCCCCCGCGCTCGCCCCCATGGCCAATCCGCGCTCGATGCTGCGCTTTACATCCCCAGGACGAAAGTTGTTTCCTCTTGGGCACGGAAAGACGGTGTGAAGTCTGGAGCAGACGCGCATGACAGAACCGCCGTGGGATCCAACGAAGTTCGCGCGGAACCAACTTCGGTTTTGGTTTATGTCTCGGTGGATCCAATTTCCGTCCGCGCGGATCCGATTTCGGATTTTGTGGATGGGCCCTACCCCATCAATTTTCCGCGAGTGCGGCTCCCACTCAACATGGGTACGTCTCTCGCCTCCCAGTTGCTGCACGCACCACGTCCAAACGCCGTCCGTTCGGCCGCGTCGACGTTCCACCTCAAGCCAAAATCCACCTCAAGCCGTCCGTTTCGTCGCGAGCTCCTCATAGCCATTTCCAACTCAAGAAAAAATCTCTTGTCGTGCGTAAATGCGTTTCGGCCCTGCGTCTCCTGACTCAACGGACTGCCTGCTCCTCGTACTCCTTTTCCGCCTTCCCACGTATAAAGGAGCGCGGGCATGTAGGGCCCTTGCTACGCTGTGGACGTCTTGAACGGGATCTCCCGTCAAGAGCACGACTTTCTATTTTATTAAACTGTTCGCGAGACCGTCTCGAAGGGGAAGTTCTGAGTACACGTGGCGGGGGAACTATGGTGTGATGTGGTGCGTCGGTTACGTGGTAACCAGCGAGTCCGAAGGCCAAACCGCCATCCCCAGAACGATTGTTGTTTTCCTCTTGGGCCCAGAACAACGGTGTGAAGTCTTGAGCAGACGCGCACGTGGGGTCCCACGAAGTTCGCGCGGATCTAATGTTGGTTATGGGTTCTGTTTCGGTGGATCCGATTTCCGTCCGCGCAGATCCGATTTCGGATTGTCTGGATCCGCGTCTACTCTTAATTTTGTGCGATGGATCCGAATTCTACCCAGTTAAAAACTTATACTGCTCACATAAAACAAGGAAGCGGGCGAAATCGGATCCACGGACCCCGGAACCCGCCCGTGTTAAGATTCTACGGGGGAAAAAGGGGATTCGGTCATCAACTTCTCATATCGGGCCCTGCCCCATCAACTCTCCGCGAGCGCGGGTCCCACTCAACATGGATACGTCTGTCCCCCCCGGTTGCTGCACGCAGCTCGTCCAGACGCCGTTCGTTCGGCGGCGCCGATATTGTCTCACGAACTCCTCATGGGAGGAAAAGCTCTCGTCCTGCGTAGGTATGCTGATGGCCGAAATCAAGTCCTGGGTGTCCTGCTCCACGTACGCGCTGATGGGCTTCGACAGGATCAGGCACTCGGGATTCATGATTAGGGCTCTGGCGAGATCAATATTTGCAATCTCCGTCTTGGGAAAGATCCCCAAATTCTTCAGCTTGTGCGTGTCGCAGTCATCGCCCCCGTGCTTGCGGGCCCTCGCCAGCCCATGCACGGTCACTTGCGCGGACTTCTCATGGATCTCTTCGGCCTTTTCCTGGATGTCATTGGTGGGAATATGTCTCGAGACTGGCATCTGCAACCTGTCCACGATTTGCAAAAACCGTTCGGGACTAGGTGTGTCAGAGCAGGCGTAAACCAAAGGCTCCCGCAAATATTCTCTCAACATGTCTGGGGCATCGCTCACGTATACTCTCTTGAGGTGCGCAAGAAAAACAAGTCTGCCTTTGACGGTATATACCTTGAGCTATCAGACATAGGAGCGTTCGTTTGCAAGTGGCGTCCCCCCCCCGTGATCTGGACGATGCTCCCATGTGTCACGCTGAGGAGCACGTTATTTAGGACATCTCGCCGGTTCTTGACATATTTGAAAGACATGTTCGCCAATGCGATCGGCAAATCATCGAACAAAGACTTGTTTGAATCGAGGCCATCAAAACTCCAGCTCTGGACCGGAATGCTTCGGCGAGCAGACTAGCGACGTATAACGGCTTGCTTCGAAACCTCGTCAAGACATATTTTAGAATTGTTTCACGAGTGCATCACACAGAGCCTCCATATTCAAGCTGGTGTCGCTGATAATGCTGGTCGTAGCGACGAACGCTCCAAGCAACGTGACCCGTGTTGACAACAATGTACATGGCTATACAGCCACTCTTGCACCACAATTGGCACATCTCGATATTCCTTCCAGGGCTGAGGCGGATTGCACCAACACGTTTTTGAATGCGGCACTGAAACTCGCAAAATGCATGTTCGCTTTCGGTCTCTGCAAGCAGTCCCTAATCAGTCGGATATGTCGCAGGGACTCGTTCACGAAACTAGCAAGTTCGATGTGTTGATTCCCTATGTCGGTCTGAAGCAGGCCTCATTTCTTCTCCCCCACGATTGCCAACAGCACTACGATCAGCACCATAGCGATACAGATCCACCAGAAATTGGGGATCGTTTGACATCAGGACGCGTCAACAAACGAAGACCGCGCTGCACACAGTCTCAACGCCCCTGTCGGTACAAATGACGCAGTCCGACCTGTGGATGGCGAACAGCGCCGGATCTGTGAGGTTCAAGTTCTGTCGGTGGATGCAGCATGTGAGCTAGTGCATGAGCAAACCTTCCAGGTCCATCTGCGTCTTGGCAAGGTTGGCCAGGTACAAGACTAGCACGGGTGCAAGCATCGCCGAAACGGCAACGGTCGGAGCGCTGTGCCTGCACAAAGTGCCAATCCGAGTGTCGATGTTGGGACTTTCTCATGCGTGTGCAGGACGTGGTCAACGAGGTACACGTGTTGCAAAGTCACGTAGAGGTACGAATACAAGATGTCAAGCAGACCGTGAATAACCGTAGCAATCATCCTCTTCAAGACGCCATCCACTGAAGTCGCCACCAGGTACAGGAATGCGCGGAAGAGTTTCGAATAATCAATATCTTGGATTCCTTTCTCGCCTCCGCTGATTTGCTACTGGAAAACATTACTTGGGAAGCAATCGTCGTCAACGCGTTTCACGCACGTCTCGTTCAGGTACAATACTAACTCGCAGTTTCGTTCGCGCTCAAGTCCACATTGAACGCATAGGTTGGCGACCAATCACCATTGTTAATTATTCATGTATCAATGTATGCGACGTTTTCTCCATCTGGTATGATGACCCTTCAGGATTTCTTCTCATAGTGCTTCCCAGGCGCTGCGCTGACCTGCTTTGTGCGATACGCAACAGACACGTCGCCTCGCAATGACACAATACGCATCGACGCGATCTCTGAATTTGCATTTTCTTGTCTAGCAACACAGAGGCCTGCACACAGGCAGCCAAACTCAGAGTCCGCATCCGACTCCTCCACGAATCTGGCCACGTCAACGGCTGATGCGAACTGCACCACGTCACAAAAGGCTACTGCACCCTCGCAATCGTCGAGGCCCTTTGTGGCTTCCATGACTTCCTCGGTCGTGCTGGTCGACTCCCCGAATGCGATCCGTCGTGTGAACGTGGCAACCGCACCGGAGGGTAGCGCCAGGCTCCACCCGGGCAGACTCGTGCCATACCAGTGTTCTCGAGTAGCCAGTGCGAGTGCATGAGTCCGGTGAACGCCTTCGGTGGGGGTAGTGGGAGGCACCTTTGGGATTCCACTCCACCGCGGGCGCCGTCGAGCTCCCCCTGGGCAACGGCAGCCGACCGAGCTTCTGGCGGTGTCGGCCTGAACTTGAGGCAAGATGGCTACGGTATCCTTGCGGGGCCTCTCCTGGGGCCTCTCGTGAGTTCTTTGGTGCCTCATGGGGCCCCTTGGATCGTCCTGGGGGGCCTTTGGGGCCGTCCTGACGCAACATCAGCAACAGCAGCATCATCATAAGCAGCATCACCACCTCATCCTCATCGACATCATCATCGTCATCATCATCATCATCGCCATGCCACCATCCTCCCAAATCTTCGGCGGTCGGTGCGCCACAATGAATCCAAACGACAATCGCTTCGCGCTTCGCGTCGCACGATGCGCCACGATCATGTTGCAGTGAGATTGGCCCGCACTCATAAGGGGCCAGACGCACGACTACAAACTCTGCAATATGTCGGGGAAGACGGTTCACCAGTAAAAACATGACCCGGGAACGGAATGCTCCCCAGACGAACGGCGAGTGCCGCAAGCCTTATCCACACTGCTGTGCCAGTCATCTGCAGACTTTAACGTCCACGCGCAACAGAACGAGAGGCAGCGGATAAAGCAGAAGAGCCTGAAAATATCACAA